CATCCATCCATCCATCCATCCATCCATCCATCCATCCATCCATCCATCCATCCATCCATCCATGTCCGTCTATCCATCCATCTATCTACCCATCCATCCATCCATGTCCGTCTATCCAATAAATCCCCAATAAATGAGGGTCCCCAATAAGTGTCTAGAAGTGTAAGTTATATCTGTAAGCTATATATAATCTAGTTTTCTGTCATGTTTTGTATAGTGAGAGTCAAACAAGTACAATTTTTACATTATTAAATATACAATAAAACTTATTATAATAATAATGTAACGCTGTGCAGTTATAATATTATAAAATATTCATTGGGCCCCTTGGCTGGAGTTGTTTGGGGCCCCCAAATCATTATATCCGCCCCTGTGTGTGTTTCTCTAAGGCTCTGGAGTGCAGTGTTGCTGGTCTGTCAGAGAAGCTGCTGTTATTCAGACATGAGCCGAACTCAGAGCAGATCCTGCACAGACTCACTGAGAAACACGACATCCATGATGGAGATCTGCTGGAGGTGGTGCTCGCTGGTCAGTGTACACACACACACACACACACACACATACACATACACGCATCGAAGCACACACACAAACACTTAAACACACTCAAACACATACACACACTCATTTATTACAGCAGCTGATGTTGACAGCTGTCTATCACTCTGACTCCTCCAGGCACAGCTTCAGTGACAGAGACAAAGTACCGCCCACATTCACTGTCCGTCCAATCGTATCGCACGCCGACCTTCTGTCACCACTGTGGAGAGATGCTGTGGGGTCTTGTCCGACAGGGACTCAAGTGTGACGGTACGAACACACCACATGCACACCGTTTCAACTCTCACGCTTCATTTATGTATGTTTTTGTTTTATTGCTTTGTTGCTTATTTGATATTTGTAAATTTTATACATAAACATTTATATTTATTCAATTTCTTTCAAATGTTTTGCTTTGCTCTAAATGTTTTTAAAAGTGATGTGAAATTATGTCTTTTGACTTAAAGTTTTTTTTTTTTTTAAATATTTGCTAAATGAAGTTTAACAAAGCAAGGAAATGTTTACAGTGTGTCTGATTATATTTTTTCGTCTGGAGAAAGTCTTATTTGTTTTATTTTGGCTAGAATAAAAGCAGTTTTAAGGTTAAAACTATTTGCCCCTTTAAGCTAAATATTTTTTTCTGATAGTCTACAGAACAAACCATCGTTATACAATAACTTGCCTAATTACCCGAACCTGCCTAGTTAACCCAATTAACCTAGTTAAGCCTTTAAATGTCACTTTGATCAGTATAGAAGTGTCTTGAAAAATATCTAGTAAAATATTATGTACTGTCATCATGACAAAGATAAAAGAAATCAGTTATTAGAGATTAGTTATTAAAACTATTATGATTAGAAATGTGTTGAAGAAAATGTTCTCTCAATTTCTAAACAGAAATTGGGGCAAAAAATAAACAGGGGGTCTAATAATTCAGGGGGGCTAATAATCCTGACCTCAACTATATATATATATATATATATATATATATATATATATATATATATACACACACACACACACACACACACACACACACACACACACACACACACACACACACACGCACAGTTATGGCTAAATATTTAGTTATAATTGTAATAATACTATTTATAATAATAATAATAATAATAGAAATAACAACAGTACTAATTAAAAATAACAATAAAAATATTTTAAATTGAATAAAATACATTTAAATAATTTATATTTATTGTTTGTCATTGCTTTTTATAATATTTACTCATTTTCTAATCTAAATTATATTAAATAGCATTTTTATTTATAAAACTCAACAATGTGACATGAATAAACTTTTTCTACAAGCATTCAGCTTAAAGTTGAACTAGAGAAGTGCAATCAGGCAAGTCATTGGACATCAGTGGTTGGTTCTGTAGACCAGCGGTTCCCAAACTTTTCAGGCTGCAACCCCCAAAATGAAAATGCCAGTGAGTCGTGACCCCCAATATATTCTGAGGTGGTTATAAATACAGAAACCTTGCATGCAATGGAGCACACACACCAATGGACCCAAGTCTATCTTCTTTTAATTTTTTTTAATGTAGGAGAGCTGTAAATGGGCAACAAAGTTTTACCAGGTGTTATGAAATCTGCTGCATCTGACAGTATTGCTGTGTCTTTAATATAATGTAATTACCCCAGGGGTTGCAATCCAATAGAACTAGTAACTATAAGCTACTATAGTAACTATATGGTATAAACAACTATTTTTTCTCTTCAGTAGGTTATGGATAAAATATGTTAATTCTTATGGTTTAATAATATAAATAGATTTTTGGAAATCACCAGGCGACCCCCCTTCATTGTCCCGCGACCCCTCGGGGGGTCCCGACCCCCACTTTGAGAACCACTGATGTAGACAACCGAGTGAAAAAAAGGCTAAAAGTATGGAGTCAATCGAGCCATTAATGCATGCAAAATAAAAGAAAGTTTTGCAAGCAAAAAAAAATGAAATATTCAGCAAAAAATAAATAAATGAAAATTTTTTAAAAATCGCAAAGCAAAAATTTCATTAGGAAATAAAAATGTATTTTGCCATCAAAAATAAATGAACCGGAAATAAAAATCAAGTCGTGCAAATGAAAACTAAAATATTTGCAATTTAAAAAAGAAACTGTATATTTGCAAAAGTTTTTTACAGCATTGTCTTTACAAAACCCGTCCAGTCTATTGCAGTGCTCATTTTGATTTGCTTTTTAGTCAACCGTGAGTTTGCGAAGCTGTTTTCACTTTGCGCCTCACGTTTCAGCGCGTTTTACTTTGTAGCCCTGATCTGACAAGGGGGCGGAGTCAAGAGAACTTGGGCATTTAGACCTGCCTCCAATTTAAGCGATGTCATCACCTGGAGACACCGTATTACAGCCCAGTAGATCCGGGGCCTGCCGTAAACGCCCAAGTTCCCTTGACTCTGCCACTCAAAAAAACACTGTAATACAATGACTTGCCTAATTACCCTAATTAACCCAGTTAAGCCTTTAAATGTCACTTTAGGCTGAATACTAGTGTCTCGAAGAGTATCTAGTCAAATGTTATGTGCTGTCATCATGGCAAAGATAAAAGAATATTAAGTTATTAGAAATTAGTTATTGAAACTGTTTAGAAATTGTTGGAAAAAAACTTGAAAAATTGGTGACGCAGTGGCGCAGTAGGTAGTGCTGTCGCCTCACAGCTAGAAGGTCATTGATTCGAGCCTCGGCTGGGTCAGTTAGTGTTTCTGTGTGGAGTTCGCATGTTCTCCCTGCGATCTCGTGGGTTTCCTGCAGGTGCTCCAGTTTCCCCCACAGTCCAAAGACAGTACAGGTGAATTGGGTGGGCTAAATTGTCCATAGTGTAGGAGTGTTCCCAGAGATGGGTTGCAGCCGGAAGGGCATCCGCTGCGTAAAAACTTGCTGGATAAGTTGGCGGTTCATTCCGCTGTGGTGACCCCGGATTAATAAAAGGGCTAAGCCGACAAGAAAATGAAAATGAATGAAGGAAAATCGAAAAATTGGGAAAAAGAATATTCAGGGGTCTAATAATTCAGGAGAGTGAATAATTCTGACTTCAACTCTATATACTGTGTTTGTCTCCTCAGGCTGTGGTCTGGACTTCCACAAGCGATGTGCTCTCAGGTTACCCAACGACTGCTCTCGTGTGTATCGGCGCTGTGGGCCGAGTCTCTCCCTGCTCCCCCCGGGCCGACCGCGTGCCCCATCGCTCTCCATACACACCGGCGGGAGTCTGGAGGAGGTGAACATACAATTCAATTCAGTTCATCTTTATTTCTCTAGCGCTTTTATTATGTAGATTGTGTCAAAGCAGCTTCACATAGATGAAGATCTAGTAAATTGAAACTGTCAGTCCAGTTTTCAGAGTTGAAGTTCAGTTTAGTGTAATGTAAACCCAAAACACTGAAAAGAAAATCCAACGATGCACATCTCCACAAGTGCCACGGCATCTGCACAGGATACGGCCGGGTCCAAGATTATGGAGACCTCGGGATAAGTAGAAACAGACTAACATACGAGTAGATGCTGTTCAAATTATAATGTCTTTTGGGAAGTGTTCCTGGCTAACAACCCTTTAGAGGATTTGGATTCCAAAAGCTTTTGTGTTTTATGTGTATACTAATGCAGAGAGATGTGTATTTAATCTAGTTTTACACTGACAGAGTCTGCTGAGTGTGTCTGCTAGGAAGGCTGTTCCAGAGTTTAGGTGCAAGATATGAGAAAGATCTACCGCCTACAGTTGATTTGAGAAGGGTCTGGCTGCAGAGTTGAACTTGCATCTTCAGGCTTGCACGCTCAGGCACCCACGCTTCCTATGCAAGTGACGTCATTTACAATCGACACCTGCACCTGTCACGTCACTTGAAATCAACACGAATAAACCAAAAGTAAGTTTCCAGTTTGCTTGCGTTGCCAGTGACGACGTTGTCAAATAATTCTAAGTAGCCTACTTAAGTTGTACAACATGATTTTTCCGCCTCAGGGACACCCTTATGTTAAATTACCGGAAGACTTTCATGCAAGTGGACACAGGTGGCGATGTAAATGACATCACTTGCAGAGGAAGCGCGGTTGCCTGAGCGTGCAAGTCTGAGCATGCAAGCCTGGAGGTGCAAGTGCGAATCTGCAGCCAGACTATTTGTTGATTTTGATGTTCTGGGAATAACCAATTGTCCAATGTTTGATTGCTCTGTCCTTAGATCAGCTTGTCGAAGCCGATGCGCTCACGGCCACCGTCCTTGGCCGATGTGTCGGTGAGTGTGGGTATGTCCGAGGGGAAGGAGGGGCGACCGCGGGTCCCTCACACCTTCCACATCCACACCTACACCAAACCAACCGTCTGCCAGCACTGCTTCCGCCTGCTCAAGGGCCTCTTCAGACAGGGCCTGCAGTGCTCCGGTAAGAAACACTCATGCACACTTACTGACAGCAGGTGTGTTTACACTGCCTGATTAAATCCTTGTGTTACCAAGGGTTGCCACAGCGGAATGAATCGCCAATTACATTGGCATATGTTGTATGTAGCGGATGCCAACAACCCAGCACTGAGAGTACACTAAGGCTGAGTTCACACTACATTTAGGACGGGGTTATGAGTCCTTTAGGGCGTAGGTAACAATAATAATTTAGGGCGGGCTTTCAGAACTTTAGGGCGTGACTAACAATCATTTAGGATGGGACTATCAGTCTTTTAGGGCGTGGCTAGCAATCACTTAGGGTGGGACTATCAGTCAATAAGGGCGTGGCTAACAATCATTTAGGGTGTGGTAGTAATCATTGAGGGTGGGGCTATCAGTTCTTTAGGGCGGGGTTATCAGTAATTTTAGGATGTAATTTGGGGCGTGGCTAAAAACAATTCAGGTGCATGTTTTGTTTCTGTCCTGCTTTCATCCATTCAACAATCCTCCTGTATTTTGTTTGTAACACCCATCTTCTGATGATCCAGTCAGTTGCCAAAGGATGAAATCAAGCACCGCCCTATGTTTTTTTTCAGCGTGTACGATTGTGTGCGTGAATGTGAGTGTGCATGGGTGTTTCCCAGTAGTGGGTTGCAGCTGGAAGGGCATCCGCTTTCTAAAACATATGCTGAAATAGTTGGTGGTTTATTCCGCTGTGGCGACCCCAGATCAATAAAGGGACTAAGCTGAAAAGAAAATGAATGAATGATTGTGTGCGTGAATGTGAGTGTGTATGGGTGTTTCCCAGTACTTGGTTGCAGCTAGAAGGGCATTTGGTGCGCAAAACATATGCCGAAATAGTAGGTGGCTCATTCCGCTGTGGCAACCCCTGATAAATATGGGACCAAACCAAAAAAGTAAGAATGAATGAATGAATGAATTTGCGCAATTTAAGGAGTGATGAAATCGGCTGTTATAGAGTTCAGAAACTCTTGTTATTAGCACAACCGGTGGCCATTCAGTGAACTGCAGCAGACTATTATGTTAATATTTGAGGCACCAAAACTAACATGCTCCTGCTGTTTGACATGTTTTATTTTTCTATTATACTGTTTTATCTTGTTGACTTACCAAGCATCTGAAAGTCTAAAAGCTTACTGGATGTTTAGTTTTTAATGCTATGACCCATTACATGTCAAAAGATCAAGGCTAATTTAATTCCTCTGCTCAACTTTCAACAACTGAACAATGTTTGTTTTTGTCTGCCTTTCACTCCAGACTGTAAGTTTAACTGTCATCGCCGCTGTCAGGCTCTCGTTCCCCCTGAATGTCGAGGTGAAAGAGCAAACGGAGAAGGTGGGATTGGTTTTTTTTTATGAATTGTATTTGTAATGAAGCCTAGTTTTAGGACATTATGCTTTATGATGTTTATTTTAAGGCAGACTATTTCAGTTTTGTCTTTGTATAATATATAAATGTTGTATTGCCGTTGCTGTGGTGTGTTTTCAGACAGTGACGCTGGTCAGGAATCAGAGGAAAACGTGGCTGTGGAGTCAGTAAACGCTCTCTATGAGGAGCTGCGCTATAAAGACCCACCGCTGGAGCAGCTGATGCCACCGCAGATGCCTGTCACGTAAATACACACACACACACACACACACACACACACACACATTCATTCATATTAGTCAGCGGTCGCCACAGTGGAATGATCCACCAACTTACCCAGCGTATGTTTTACGCAGCAGATGCCTTTTCAACTGCAACCCAACACTAGGAAACATCCATACACTTACATTCACACACATACACTATGGCCAATTTAGCCTATTCAATTTCCCTCTACCACATGCGTTCAGACCTTGGGGGGAAACCGGAGCACCCAGAGGAAACCCACACCAACATGGGGAGAACATGCAAACTCCACACAGAAATGCCAACTGACCCAGTATATATAT